GGCGAACAGATGCGCACAGATGTCTGAGGGGACGCCTGGACTGGCGGAAACACTGCAGCAGCCTGGGGTTCAGCCCGCGTCGCCACCACCCTGGGGCTCACCAGAGGACCACAGACCGTGAGCCCCTGCAGTGTGAAAAAGGACTCTGTTTCTTTCACACAGTTAGAAGCTGTGCATCCTCCTCCTCCTCTTTCTGCCTCCTTGCCCCACCCCATGCCCCTTTCAGGCAGAACCCTCTAGAAATAACTCATCCCAGCCCTGCAAAGGAGAAGGAGCTTCTCCTACCTTCCACCTGGTAAGCTGCGGTGGTCACCCCCCAGCCAAAGCCCACAGGGAAAGCCATAGTTGCAGGAGGACAGCTGGCAACCTGGAACACACAGTCAACGAGAGCACTGCACCCTTTAAAAGTCTGAGCAGCCCAGCCCCTGCACCAACAAGACGTAAACCCTTACCCGGGAAAGGGTCACAGAATCCAACTGTGTATGCCGAGGAGACAGGGCCAGATTAAAGGCTCCCACTTGATGGGCCACTGCCTTACTAAGGAGAAGAAACTTTGGACCAGTGGAGCAGGCTGGCCACTGCACTTTTCCTCCAAGCCACCACTCCCTGCTCCTGACAGAGCGGGGTGGGCTGGGAGCCAATGTGTCCCTGCTTCCACAGGTCGCCCAGTCATCGGATCTTTTGCCTTTGAATGAAATGAATGGGCATTGTTTTTTACAGCCACACAATCCTACTAGCATTTTCCCTTAAACAATTCCTGCCAGTTCCTAACCTACACTCCTTAGTAGTAACTATTGTCAACTATTTCTTCTGGTACAGTAGCGCCCCCCCCCCTTATTTGAGGGAGACACATTCCAAGATGCCTTTACAGATGCCTGAAACCTATGTATACTACACACACATACACCTATGATAAAGTTTAATTTATAAATCAGCCACAGTGAGATACTAACAGCAATAATGAATTATGGAATAGAACAATTTCAACAATGCACTGTAATAACAGTACGTGAGTGTCATCTGTCTCAAAACACCTTGCTTTACTGGACTCCCCTGCCCACTTGTGATGACGTGAGGCCCTACAAAGTCTACATGACGCGAGGAAGTGGATGCCACAGGTATTGTGGCGCGTCGTTGCGCTACTCTTGCCTGGGGGGTCATTTTTAAGTAAAACAAGGGCTGCCTGAACACAAGCATCGTGGCACCACGGCAGTCGGTCTGAGAGCGACTACACTGCAAGATGCTGGACAAGGGGGTGAGTCTGCCTTTGGGCGAGGCAGAGCCTGACGTCGCAAGATTTCTTCTTGCTACTTAGGGGTGTAATCTAAAAAGTATGAATTGTTTACTTCTGGGACTTTTGACCTAGTATTTTCAGGCCACGGTTGACGGCAGCTAACTGAAACAAGTTAAACTTGTGCATAAACTTGTGGGTAGGCAAAGTGAAACTGCGGATAAGGAGAGAACACTGTGTTTACTTCGACGCGGTTTAAATAACAGGCTGGTGCTCGTGCTTCTCAATTTGTTTCCAGATTTCCCATGATGATCACGGACTTCTAGATATGAGTAGAAAATCCTACTTCAATTTCTGTCTCTCTCCCTCACTCTCTCTCTCTTTTCCATTCACCGAACAGGATAAGATTCCCTTTTCTGTTTAAGGAAATACTTATTTACATTCCTATGACTATACATGGTTCAAAATTCAGCCGTGCATAAAATGTTGCTTACATGTAACTTTGTACTTTCTCTGAGGCTAATCAACTACCTGGTTTTTATATTTAATTTTTCTATACCTGTAACTAATTCATCCCCAAACAATCTGGCCAGACTATAAATCTCCGGGTTGTTTAAACGCCTCTATTTCCCCCCTCCGTTCTGCACTGATTGCTTTTCGGCAGCCACTGAGCTAGTGGCCTCGGATGCTGCCTCCTTCCCTGTCTCCTGAGCTTTCCCCCTCTTTGTTTCTCCTTCCCTTCAGAGAAGCAAATCCTCGCATAACGTTCTGATGAAAGGGGCGTGGAAGGTACACTTTTTGAAACCCTGTAGCTCTGGAATCGTCTTTATTCCAACATCGTGCTTGATCTGTGTTTGTGTATCGTGGCATTTGGTGACGGACAGCATTTTCGCTCAGAAATTGGAAAGCACGGATTCCTGGCTTTCTAGCTTCCGATGTGGCTCTTGCGAAGACGGATGCCAATCCCAGTCCTGACCTTTTCTATGCGACAACCTTGCTGTGTCCCCCAAGCTTCTCCTTCTGCGGGTTCAGTCTGGTGCCTGGACGTGGGACGCACCCGGCAGGCACTCGGTGTGGGACCCAGACAGTGTGTGACCCAGAGTGCCACGGAATGCTGGCCACAGAGGAAACCGGGCGAGGGCCACACTGTCCTGTCTTTGTAACTTTTCTGTATCTCCAGCGCAGATCCACAATTAAAAGTTAGTCTTTTTTTTTTAAGATTTTATTTATTTACTTTTAGAGAGGGAAGGGAGGGAGAAAGAGAGAGAGAGAGAGAGAAACATCAATGTGCGGTTGCTGGGGGCTGTGGCTTGCAACCCAGGCATGTGCCCTGACTGGGAATTGAACCTGAGATGCTTTGGTTTGCAGCCCGCGCTCAATCCACTGAGCTATGCCAGCCAGGGTGAAAAAGTTCACCTTTTTAAATGCCCGTAAGAGAAGATTTAGGCAAAATCAAAGCGAGAAGAGTTGCTTTTTCAGTTCCCCCACGTCAGCACTAAATTACCCTACCCTGTCCTGACAGGAACTCAAGGTTGGAACAAGGTACAACGAGGTGGAAATCTCATCCTCTCTGGTTATCCTAACCCCAAGAGGAAAGATGTTAATAGGAAAGGAGATGGAGGAAGGCATTTAAAGGTACATGTTTAGGGATATAAACATAAAACATACAGGGCATACTACTAAGCTGAGTCCTCACAGCTGTTCAGTTCTGAAGCAATCTACTAACTTCAATGAAAAACACATATTACATTATTTTCATGTGGACCACTAGATGGCAGCATTGCAACTTTTTTAGGTTTACAAGTTGCTGTGTAGAGTGTTACTAAGATTTAGTTATCCCACCAGGGGCCAGCTGCCCCAGCAACCCCTAGCTAATTGCTATGGCTCTTCTACTGAATTTCTTCAGAAAGATCACTCTGCCCTCTCAGCGTTCCCCATTCTCTGAAGTTCCTTGACCACAAATGCGAGAACGTAATTTTTCTCAGCTCTGATGTAATTCTCCAGCATAGACTTGTCAAGAGTTTTGGCATAAGGACATCTTTATACTCGTAAAAATAATTGAGGCCTTTGAAGAGATTTTTTTTCAATGTGAGTTATATTTTTTAAAAGATTTTACTTATTTATTTAGAGAGAGGGGAAGGTAGAGAGAAAGAAAGGGAAAGAAATATTGATCTAAGAGAGAAATATCAGTCAGTCTCCTCATGCAGGCACCCCAACCAGAGAGAGACCAGCCAGGCCTGCAACCCAGGCATGTGCCCTGACTGGGAATCGAACTGGCAACCTTTCACTTTGTGGCATGAGGCCCAACCAACTCAGCAACACCAGCCAGGATGAAATGTGGGTTATATTTAGCCATGTTTACTCTATTCAAAACTAAAACTAAGATTTAAAAATAATATTTAGTGATGACTTCTTTTTCAATAGCATTAAAAACGTGAACATAAATAACATTTTATGAAAAAATAATCATATACTCCAGAACAAAAAAAAAAAACATTTAGTGGGAGGAGAGTTTTTACATGTTTGCAAATCTTTTTCGTGCCTGGCTTAGGAGACAGGTGGAGGTTCCTGTCTGCTTCTTATGTGCTGCGTTGCATCCTCTGCCTACTCACAGAGCAAGAGATGAGAGCGAAAAAGGCAAATGGGTCTCAGTGTCATGACAGAAAGAGCTTTGACCCGGTGGGCGCTCCGAGAGGTCTCGGGAGCCCCAGCAGAACCTTCGCTGTCCCGGCACGCTCCGCAGGCCCCCGCACGGCTGCCCGCCGCCCCTCGGCACCTTCTCTCGTACAGAGATGTCGCTCCGCTAACATTCCCCACACAGAAGCCCTCGTGGCTGTAAGACATGAATTGCCAGCCGCCATGCTGGGCAAGAAAAAATTATTTTGTTTCTTTATTTTCTTTCTACAAAAAGATGTCTGATATCATGGTCCTGCCCAGCAAGGCTGGCTGGTAATTTAATATGTCGTTGTTTCAATCCCCTCCAACCCCTTTTAGGGCCGTACAAGAAAACGTCCGTCTTACGAAGACCGCATTGAGGAACGATGCCTGGTGCCCCCGTTCCCTCATCTCACAGCACCGGCCCATACTGATCAGCGCCCAGACACCCGCTCTCCAACCCCCACGCCTGCCCTGGTCCCTGCAAGTCCCCTGGCTCTCTGCTGTGAGGCACAGGGGTCCTCCCAGGGTACAAAGCTGAGGCCTTGGGTTCAACTCCCTCCCCCAGAACACACGGCAATCTCTTTGAAATCACTTTCCAGGGCACTGCCTGGGAATGGCACAGCAAACGCTGCCACCCTTGACAGCCACAACCACCCACAGCCCAAGCTGGATGGACACACAAGTGTCTTACCTTATAGTTTCGACAATGGGTATGCCCTCTAGAAGTCCTAGGAGTGCTAAGAGACTAGAAATACAGTGTTCTCTGGGGTAATATCTATTGAATACCTTGCAGAAACCTTTCTTTGTTACCTGCAAAACAAGCTGTTATTCAATAAAGATTCAGCCCCATTAGTCCTGACTTTGACCCTCCCAAATTGAAATGCCGAGAGTCAGAAATCCTGGCATTCAAAATGTTCCCGTCTACCTGCGTCAGGAGAAAAGCACAGTTCTAAATAAGCATGTCTCTGTCTGCAGCGAGGACAGCCAAGAGCCAAGTCCTAATTCCTTTTCCATCTGGGCCGACAATTGGGCCACACTTGCCAGCCCCTGTGGTTAGATGTGACCACGTGACCGAGTCCCAGGAGTGTGGGCAGAGAAATATAACACATACCACTTCCAGGCAGGGTCGCTGGAATCTGCCCGCACTGCCACTTGTGTTTCATCCTTCTGTCCTCTGTCCCCTCTCATCCACCGGCTGGATGCAGAGGCGCCTCCGGCAAACAGAGGCCCCAGGAACTCCCTGGTGGAAGGAGCCTGTTTTCCATACCACCGCATTGGAGCCCCGGCCCCTACCAACTCCACAAGCAGCCCACCTCAGACCATGGTCTGAATGTTTACGTGGCTAACCCACCGAAATGCGGGCGCTGCTGAAGAAGACGCTGTCTGAATAATGACTACGTTTCATAAAAAGGCCACGGGAAAAGTTTCACAAATTCAAATAACTTTTCTCCAGCAGGGGAGCCTCTTTGGTGATATGTCACTGGAGGAAAAAGAAAGTAAAAGGGAAAGAGAAGGAGGGCCAAGTGGGGGAGGCACCGAAGGGCAGATCCTCGCCCCTCCCACCCTCCCTGCACTTGGTTTCGCAATGGATTATTCATCTTGACTCTCTTCCTCCGCCAACAAGATCTAGTCGGATCTCGAAGGCGGATGCGCACTTACCGAAGTGCTTTCCAAACAGGGCCCTGGACTCCTGAGAGTCATCAAGCTGTTTTTAATATTTCAATAATTCTAACTGCAATTATAAATTCACTTCCTATCAGCTCTCCCAGGCTATCTGAAACGTCCATTTTATTGCTTTAGACTAAATTATACAAACTCATCGTGCTAATACCAGCTTCTCATGCATGAAAATGCACAAATGAATTAGTAATAACAATGCTCTTGGTTTCTTAGTAGACAACCTGTCAAAACATGAAGTTCAGAGAGTATACCAGTTAAAAAATTCACTTGTGAAAATTCTGACAACCGAGGGGCGTGTGTGTGTGTGTGTGTGTGTGGTGTGTGTGTGTGTGTGTGTGTGTGCACGCGCGCGCTGGGAGCAAGCCAGGGGGCAGCAGCAGGCACTAGTCTGGGCCCCCCCGGATTCAGCCAACTCTCAGAGTTCTCTTCATAGCACTGTGCTCTGCTCTGGGTGCCTGCCTTTCTCCGCTGCAGCTTATGGGCTTCCGGAGAGGCTGGCGCCGCACCCTGCCCCATAGTCAGTCCCCCATCCCCGTGGATCAGTGAGAGGCCGTCTCCGTATCTCATCTCACTTTTACAGGGACTGGATGAGAGGTGGCCTTGTGACCAGTTGAACAATGCAGCAAGAGAAAATGTACATTGGGCTTCTGAGACAGCCGCTTTCGCCCCCTTCAGTAGAAATGATCTAAAAAGGTAGACCCTTCCCACCACACAGGAGTGGGGAAGCTTGGGGCAGCCATTTCATAAATAGCTCTGGGATACAAAGGAAAAATGGAAGGAACTGAACATTTTAGAACCAGTAAATTTCCTTTATGGTTTAGGCCTATTTGGGTTGCTTTTCCTGTTACTTGCAACCCAAAAATTCATATATGGTATACACATATATTTGGGATATGTGTTTCTATATCTTTATATTTATATATGCATGTATATACGTGTATATGTATATATATAAGATATGTGTGTATGTTATGTCTATGTATTTATACAAGTGGCTGGATGCAGATAAATGACTACATACATAGACATATATGAAAGTAGATGTGTGTTATATGAGTATACACAGTTCATTCACCTGCATGTCTACATATCAAAAGCTCTGTCCAAACAAAGGAACTTTGCTGGGTATTTTTCTAGCTGACTTGAACGTTGTCCCATACCACCAGCCCGGAAATGAAGATATATGTGGGCTAATTAGTGGCAGGCTCAAGTGGATTCAATTAGATTATTTGCATTAATTTATTGAAGGCCATCTACCCCATAAGATTTATCATGAAAGCGATATAAAACAACACCAGTGCATCAGTCAATATTTCAAAAAGGCATATTGCTACACAAGTGAGGATTTACCATTGAGTAATTTTCAAAACAAACCCCAAAATGCTCCCCTTTCAAAGTGTCGACAGGCTGGTACTAACAAGGTCTCACAAGTAGTCACAGAAACCACTTGGTACCACTCAAAGGTCTAAGAATAAAAGGCAGTCAGCAAGCCCTGGCTGGAGTAGTAGCTCAGTGGATTGAGCGCAGGCTACGAACCAAAGTGTCACAGGTTCGATTCCCAGTCAGGATACATGTCTGGGTTGCAGGCCATGACCCCCAGCAACCACACATTGATGTTTCTCTCTCTCTCTCTATCTCCCTTCCGTCTCTAAAAATAAATAAATAAAATCTTTTTAAAAAAAGGGCAGTCAGCAGAGACAGAGCCCTCTGGAAGCCTTTTCTGGGGCCTCCCAGCAAATACCCACGGTGTGGTATCATGTTCCAATAACAACACATTTTGGGGCATTTTCCACAGTGCCGCTGCCAATGATTCCATCCACCTCATTCAGCCAATCAAAGCATCCTCTACCAATACAACCAAATACCAATACAACCTAAAGTACCTGTGTTTCTATGCAGTATTTGGAGAAGTGTTAAACTGAGCTGGAATTCGGTTGCAGCAAGTGATGCATGTAAGACACAAAATTCAAGGAGGTGATCTGACTCAGTCCCACCTCCTGATGTTAATGACCATCAACAGCACACTCAAGTTCAAAGGCCTGGATACAGACCCGAACTAGTTTTCCATCTAAACGTCTATGTCAATGCACAGGTGTGCCTTTTGCCTCAGGACTAGCCTGTAACTAATCCACTAAATCCCAGGAGTGTTTGCACATTTGAGAGCATCTTTGATTGCTAATCTCACTTCAGAGATTGGGTTTGGAACTTCAAAAGCATTTTCTCGCCACAGTGAATAAAGCAAGGTGTTGGAGGCCCCCAATCTGGAAAGAAAGCATGAAAGAGTGGAATGGAGCCAAAGAAAATATAAAACCAAAGTGAAAAAAAAAACAATTTCAGCGATCATAAAATTATTGTAGATGAACTATATTTGGAACAGTGAGCAATGCTTTCTGTATAGCACGTAACAATCGAGGAGAAGCTACCCTGAACTTTCTCTTTTGGGCCCTCAATCAAAGACCATTAAGCACCTAGCCTGGACACCCCTCTGAACCCTTCTCCTGTCCCCTCCTACTTCTGCCACAGCAGCCTACCGCCAGGCTCTGCCGACTCTACAGCCTGCACGTGTGTTACCTGCGTCAAGTGACATCCATCTCTGGGGCTTCTTCTCCGTGCAAAGGGAACAGAGATCCTCTCAAGACTGGAAAGTTCCACATGGATTCCCAACTTCCAGTTTTTTTTCTTCATCCAATAGATTTTATTGCAGCCTTATCCATCCTTCTAAAACAGAAATTGTTCAGAGATTGTGACCCTCAAGTTCAAACTAACTGACCTATACAAAGCCCCCACGACCTGCTTTCCACTTCCTTCTGTTCGTATCCCCACCAGTGTTCCTTTCATCAGCTCTTCTTTTTTCAGCTTTTCAAATACACCATGCTCCAGGGTCTTCCTCAACACTGATTCTTGACCAATGATGCACCTTTGCCTAGAAATCTCTCTCTGTTGTTCTGGACTATCTTCCTTACCATCCACTGGCCAGCTTAAGGTGACTTTTTAAAGACACATTCCCTAGGACAAGCTAAGTTTCCATTTTGTGTGCTCCTTATCATAACACTTGTGAGATTTTATTTTAAAATGTGTTCAGTTGTCTGACTTCCCCGTCAGTCTATAACTTTTCTGAGAGTAGGGGTTGTCTTAAACTGTCGAGCTAAATGTGAAAGGCTCATTGGGTCTATTTTCCCTATATTCACCAATTCATTTGCTAAATGAATATTGAGCAACTGCTATGAGCCAGGTACCATGCTAGACCCTAGGGAGAAAGTGCTCAGCCAATCCTACCAAGTCAGCCCCTGAATGAACCATAGGGGTTGGAATCACCTTCCAATCTCCTATTTCAAGTTCCCCAGCTTTGTTTTAGTAGCATCCTGTTTTACCCCAAGTGCCTCGGGGAAAACCCAAAGAGCAAGTGGAGTTACCTATAGTTTTCCTAATGTATTATTTACACTTCTTCCCCCAATACCTTACAGATTCAGGGTAGAAAAAGGACAAGGATAGGGAGGAGGAAAGAGTGTGCCAAAAACAAAGGAATGTTTCATTCTATTGGGCCATGTGATTGATGGAGAGAGAACCATCTGGAATCACTGCCTGAGGTGGGTTTAGGGTTTAAGCTAAGGGTGCTATGAAAAAGGATTCCCATATCCTAAAAGTTGTCTGTAAAGCTTTTCAGCCTTAGGGTGGCTGACATAGAGATCGTCTGCCCAGGGATGGTGTGGGCATCTCTCAGCCACTCTACCACACCAAGGAGCCTGCCCTCCCCGTCTCCCAGAGGGCAGCACTGTCGTGTACTCATATTCCATCTGGGGGCACCCCTGCATCGAACAATGACATGTTAGTACAGCACAAGCCCTCAACTTACATTTCTGTTCATACTATTTAGAGCTAACATATACTCTGCCCATTTTAGTGACTATAAAAGATGAGTACATTCTCATTTCATGTGTGAGTTTTATGTAGTTGCATTATGACTAATGATGTCTTGCACTGTAATTTTTATATATGACAATCAAAAGGCATAAAGAATGAGCAATATATTAATATGATTCATGAAGTCAAGGTGAGCCCATTCAAATATGCCAAGACAGTTCAAGTCAGTGGGAAGGAGCCTGTGCCAAATGAGAATTTTCCCTGGAAACTTTTCTGGATAACATGCACTTCATGTGCTTGGAGTTGCATTACACAGACTGACATTCTATACACAAACAAAAAGACCCCCACAAAAATCTACTTATAACAGTGGTAGAAACAGAAGCGCTGGCCTCTGATCATGGCAGAGCAGTCTGAGTCAGAGTTATCCTTTTGCCAGGTTCGATGGCAAACTTTAAGCATAACATCGAAGACAACTCTATGAAGGAACTGAAGGTGATGGAGAAGTGGGTGTACCCTGGGGAAGAACAAAGCCATGAAGAGGGCGGTGAACTAGAGTGCAGTCCCTTCGTGCAGGTGTGGCGCCTGGGGCCACTCCTCCTGGAACTCCAGCAGGAGACCTCTGAGGGGAGGGAGCGTGAGGGGTTTGAAGGAGGAGATGGGCCTGTACAGTGAGGGTGGAAATCCAAAAAAGGAGGAGCCAAAACTGAGTAAGATTGCCATGTTTTCACTATATATATATATATTTTGGAGGGTTACCTTTTACTTAAAACATGTAATACTAGTTCCACACATACCAGCATGAAATAAATTTTCTTTTATGAGTACATTTTTGATTAAAAAAGGTGAGTCAGAGAAAGTAAGTAGTAATGCAGGTGTCAGAAAGCT